GTTTTGAAAAAATCAAAAGAAAATGATAAAAACTTTAAAAAATAAAATCCTTCGAGAGGTAGTTATATTACTATATCTACTAGTTAGGAAAATTTGAAAACTTAAATTTGGACATGTTTTGCAAAAAGTGTAGGGAAAATGTAAAACGGCTATAACTTTTGCATACGATGTCGGAAAAAAACGTATAATATATCAAAAAATTCAGCACGAAAATCCGCATCCGATGGAGACTGCCTACGGCCTGTTTGGAATTTTTTAGAATCCTCAAATTCGAAAAGGAAAAAAAAGATATGGTCAAATTTCAGTTTTTTTAAAAAAAAATTGGTTAAATTTGGTCAAACTACTTATTCAAGAAGTATTAATGTTACTACATAATTATTCAAGAATATTAGTGTTACAAAATAATTATTTCAATTTTTTGAATTTTGGTCAAACTGTGGTCAAACTATGGTCAAACTTATTCAAGAAATATTAGCGTTACTAAATAATTACTGTTTTTTTAGAATAATAGTTTCAAACTCAAACGGTGAAATGTGTGACTTCATGCTCAAGCTAAACTCCTCAGGGTTAATAGGATTGACATCTTACTATTGTCAGGAAAACAACAAGTGCAGACTCGGAAACGAAGGAGAATAGAACCCGAAAGTTAAGCATGCTCGGGCTGGAGTAGTGAGAGGGATGGGTGACCGGTCGGGAAGTTAGATGATTTGGAATGAGTGATCCACACTTGAGCAGTTAAGAGAGGTGATTAGAGACTAAATCATCAAATAATTCAGAAAAAATAAAAATAAAAAAAATCAATTTTTTTTTCCAAAATTTTCAAAAAAAAAATTCAAAAAAAAACCTTTAGTACCGGTTGGTAACACCAACCGGTACTAAAGGTCCCCCATACTAGGGCGCGAGCTCACGCCACGTGGTGGCACTTTAGCGCCGGTTCGTGCCGAACCGGTACTAAAGGGGGGGCCTTTAGTGCCCACACTTTAGTGCCGGTTCCATAACCGACACTAAAGGCCCTTACAAACCGGTTTTAAAGCTCCGTTTTCTACGTTTTCTACTAGTGCTTGTTCCTGGTGATATGGACCTAAAAGGGCTATTTCACCAGCAACTCTTAAATGTTCGTCGAGTAAAGTTAAGGGGAATTTGCCAAAAAGGACATATTCCAATAT